ACCGCATGTTCTCACTCATAGGCAGGTGTTGAACAATGAGAACACATGGACACAGGGAGGGGAGCACTACACACTGGGATCTGTTGGGGGGAAATAGGGGAGGGACGGTTGGGGGTGGGGAGTTGGGGAGAGATAGCAAGGGGAGAGATGCCAGATGTAGGTGATGGGGAGGAAGGCAGCACATCACACTGCCATGTGTGTACCTATCCAACAATCTTGCATGTTCTTCACATGTACCCCCAAACCTAAAATGCAATAAAATAAATTTAAAAAAAGAAAGAAAGAAATGCAGAGTCTCAAGCAACACCCCAGGCCTGCCAATCAGATGTTCCATTTTGACAAGATCTCCAGCTGATTTGTGTGCACATTAGAGTTTTAGAAGTGTGGGTGCTGGCTTAGAGCACAAGTAGGGAAACACTGATCTATTAGGCTCCCATGGAATCGGAAGATTCAGCTGATGCCTTCTTGGTTTTTGAACCCCTGAATAAGAACATCAGCAAACTGGTTATTCAGTAACAAGTAAGTAAGTAACACATTTGTTACTGAATAACCATTTTGCTGATGTTCATATTCAGGGGTAACTTGGTACTTAAAATTTTAGATACATTCATCAAGAGGTATCTACACACATGTGAGTTCCATGAAGCCGGGTCTTTGTCTGGTTACACCTGTGCTCCTAGCAGCTAGAACAAGGCCTGACGTTTGGTAGGCATGTGTGTTAGGCCACTGCTATCAAGAAATACCTGAGACTGGGTAGTTTATGAAGAAAAGAGGTTTAACTGGCTTGCGGTTCTGCAGCCCGTACAAGCACCATGACACCAGCATCTGCTTAGCTTCTGGGGAGGCTCAGAGAGCTTACTCATGGCAGAAGATGAAGCAGGAACAGGCGCATCACAAGGCAAAAGCAGGAGCAAGAGAGAGAGAGAGTGGGAAGGGGGTGCCACAAACTTTAAAAGACCAGGTTCTTATGTGAACTCAGAGTGAGAGCTCACTCATCACCAAGGGGATAGCACAAACCGTTGATGAGGGACCCAGCTCCATGACCCAAATACCTCCCACCATGCCCCACCTCCCACACTTGGGATTATTAGGTTGGTGCAAAAGTAATCGCTGGTTTTGCCATTACTTTTAATCTCAAATCATGTTGAATTTAGATTTGGGTGTGGACAGTTATCCAAGCTATATCAGCACTCAATAGATACTTGTTGAAAAATGAAAAAGGAAAGCATAAGAAAAAGGACAAATGGAGGCAATACAGATAGTTGCTCATTACCTCAACATTCTAGAGCACTTGACTTTGCTTCAGTGGAGGACACTGTAAAAATTCCCTGGATCAAAGTTATACTGGTCAGGGTGGACTAACTACTGAACCAAATAGACCTGAAACTGTACAATGACTAAAGTACAGGAGAAGTTTACTTCTTGCTCACTTACTAGTCCTCGGCAGGTACATGGATCCACAGCATATCCTCCTGCAAGCATTCAGGACCCAGGCTGATGGAAGTGCTACCACCTTCAACACATGGTTCCAAGTTTCCCTGGGAGTCATTTCATTTCAGCCAGCTGGAACAGGAAAGGAGATTGAAGGAGCACATGAGAGATTTTTACGAACCAAGCATGAAAGTAGCAGATGGCACATCCTACGGTAGCCAGCCTTCAAGATGGCCCCAGTGAATCCTGCCTCCTGGTATTCGTGATCACATATAGTCCCCCTCCCACAGCAAATGAGGCTGACCTGTGTAACAGATAAGATATTGTAGAAATGACAGTGTGTGACTTCCCAGGCTGAGTCTTAGTCTCTTGAATCACTTGCTTTAAGGGAAGCCAGCTGCCATATCATGAGGACATTCAAGCAACCCCATGGAGAGACCCATACGGCCTCCTTCCCACCAACAGCCATGTGAGTGGGCCATCTTAGGAGTGGAGCCTTCCGGCCTTGGCAAACCTGCAAATGACTGTGGTTCCAGCCCACGCCTCAACTGCAGCTTCATAAGAGACTCTGAACCAAACTGACCTAATTAATATGCTCCTAAATGCCTGACCCTCAGAAACTATGAGATAATAGTTTGTTGCTTTAAACCACCACGTTTCAAGGTAACCTGTTATGCAGCAATAGATAATTAACAGATTTCCGCTTATTTCGTTTTAGCCCAGAAAGAAGAGGAGAATGTGGATTTTGCTAAGCAGTCAGCAGACTCTTCTACAGGAAGAGAAAGAATAGTAACGAGATAAGAACAAAAGCAAGCAGAACTATAAATGAAATCCTGGGGTCAAACCATAGAGCTACTGAACACACTTAGCCTTTCTCTCCTTTTTGTAAAGTTCACCCACCCTAAAGGGCCATCTTCAGCCTTACCTCCTTCTTGAAATCTGTGCATGTCAGGCCACATTCCTCTCTTGCCTCTGAACTCCTGCAGCACTTCTTGGCTCATTTTCTTCTGTGTACAGCAATAAATGTCACTGGTTCAGAGACAGAAGACATCATTTAGTACTCAATCATGTATTACCTTGTGATAGCTCTTATATCACTGTCTAGGACGATTATTTAAGTTTTCATGTCTGTGTATCTTGTCTTCCCAATTACATTTAAGATCCTGGAGGGCAGAGACTAGCGGAGGTGGATGATATATGATGTGGCCACATTAGTTCAATAATCTGTAAAGTGATTTATTGAAACCACCAAATCTGATCTTAATGGGGGTTGAATTTTAATAGGAATTCAGACCCTTCCCTAGATCACTAAACATATGATCACAAACATATATTCCAAATTCTGTTTGCTGAGCATTAGATCATATCCTTAGTGATGCCTGGCACAAGTATAGTCAGTGGATATTATTTGAGTGTAATTTTAGAAGTAGCTGCAAATGAGAAATTTGATTAAATTTTATGTGAAAGATAGATAATATTTAGAAAAAAATCACAGTGAAAATGCTTTTTAATCTAGATTTATCTTGACATAATTTCATCACCTGTAGATTAGCAGACTCTAATCAACTTTACATTTTAACCACCCCTTCTTGGTTTTATAAAAGCAATCATCACATTGCCAGCAAACATTATTTCATTTACCCTCATTAACAATCCCTCCTTATGATATATATTAGACATTGAAAATAATTGAAGGGCTTTATGTTTGCCTTCCATTGGTATCTTTGCTTGATATCGAAAGTAATGACTCAAGAGCGGACAAATAGATGTTGCCTTATAATAAATTTATGAAGAGTTTATCAAGCATGTGCACTGTTCTTTGTCAAGCATCTTGTAGCTAAACATAGCAACCAGACCATTTAAAGTAACAATACTCACAGTAGAAGCTTTTAAGAATGATCACAAAATGCAGCTCCTTGAAAAGGCCAAGGTAAAAAATAATCCTGTGATCAATTACTTCTGCTGACAGACACTTGGGTAACAACTTTGATATTTTCTGTTCTGAAAAAAAAGCTATATTTTTATATCATCTGTTGGATTTCTTTTAAGACCCCTGAAATACCTGAATAATGCACATTGGTTTACCTCATAGAATATGCAGTCTAACTAGCTGTGTAAATCCTTGAAATCCATTATTTATACTATATATAATGATTGTTCAAGGAAACTCAGGAATTTAGATATTAAAATGCTAGGCCTTTCAATGTGGGGGAAAAAATATAACTCTGAGCTCTTCTCCAAAGATTAGCGTTCTAATCTGACTTGAATCACTACATGTTAAACATGCATTTTTCCTCTTCACGGAATTAAATTATGGAATTGATTTGTTTTACAGATTCCAGAGAAATTGCAATGGCTTTGAGCACTGGGCATACTTACTAAGAATACAAAGATCATTGGTTAAAAGAAAAGGTTCTTTGTGTTATGTCTTCATGTGTTCAGGCCCCAAAGTCCCCGAAGCAATATCAGCTAAGTATGCCACACTCTGATCTTGTAAATAAAACATGACAATCTGAAGGTCAGAAAGTGTTTTACCAGGGTGCCCTGACTTCTAAAAGTAGAACCCATTATTAACACACATCTTTGGCACAATTGTGTCCTTTACTCTGATGGGTCAACAGAGTTCAATGTATAATCAGATATCATATAATTCCCTTCCAGAGAAATTTTTTAAATATACCCATTGATTCTTAGCAGCTATAACTGTTTTAAAAATACTGCAAGTCCCACAGTATTTGTTCATTTGTTCCTATATTATAAATTTATCATGATTGTATTAAAAGATTAATAGAGACTAGAAAGCTGGTTAGACATAATTACTATGAAAACAGATACCATGCAAAATAAAATTAAAATATACTGTTATTGTTTATAAGAAACAAAAAATAAACACTAGACTGCTTTCCATATGCATACATACATATATATTTATTTATATGTATATATACATATACATATAAAATGCTATTATCATTGATCAAGACAGATTCAGTATTGATCAAGCATCAAAATTATTCTTAGTTAGAAAATATACAAATCAAAGGCACTAATAGAAGGTTTAAAGAGGAAGAGGTCCCCCCAGACCAGAAGACCAGAAGGGGTGATTAGGGTATTATCAGGGTGACATTGCAGCTTCTGGGTAATGCTTTGCAATGAATTCTGGGACAAGTAAGACCCTTAAAGTGTAAAGAACCAGACCACTTAATTTCAGGGACAACAAGAATGTGGGAAGCTGAGGAGACCCCAACTAAGCCCTCAACCAGTTTGGGAGAGACCTCTCAAGAATGTGCTAGCTTTATAAATGAAAGGAAGGCTTTAGGAAAAAAAAAAAGTAAAAGAAGTAATACATGGTGTCCCTTAGAAGTGGCCCAGAGGTAGGACTAGTGGTTGATCCATTACCTTGCTGGGCATCTTTCTAACTGGAGATGAGCCACCAAAGACGTTGCTGTGACCCAGTGGCTTCTGCGTGAGCCATCTTCCTCTGTCCCAGCCCTGAATCACCCCTCTCCCTGCCAGAACAACACATTAGCCAATAGCTCTAGAATTTTATGAAATGAGAAATGGTTGGTGCTAGGCCCTTCAATGATATAGCCATAATTTAGAACAACTTCTGAGATTTCTTTAAAATAAATTTTATTGTGTATATTTAAGATATATACTTTTTAACATAATTGAGGACCACAGCTATGGATTCAAATAACCATTTAAAATCACCTAATTCTGTGTTACAACTGAACAGCAAAGGGCTTTATTTATGTATATTGAAATCATTTATTGGAATATATGAAATTGGAGAAGTAAATATAAAGTATTTATTCTGGGCAGACTCAAAATAAAAATAAAATTCCTTTTAAAAAATAAGGGAAAAACAAGAACCATTCAAGGCATTTAACAAAGAACGGTTTAAGAGTTAGAATATTTCATTGTTACAATATTTTTTTAAATTCAGGCTATCATGATTATGTTTGTTAGGGTATGCATACAGCTGTCATTTCTGTATTCTGAAATACACTGAACCAATTGGCCCAACATATTTTCTGGTGGTGTGCTATCATGGCTGTACTTTGTATTATCACATTGGAGACTGAACCAGTCAATAGAAAAAAGACTTGATTTTTTTTTCTTTTTTGAGACAGTCTCCCTCTGTCACCCAGGCTGGAGTACAGTGGCCTGATCTCAGCTCACTACAGCCTCTGCCTCCTGGGTTCAAGCGATTCTCGTACCTCAGTCTCCCAAGTAGCTGGGATGACAGTTGCTTACCACCATACCTGGCTAATTTTTGTATTGTTGGTAGAGATGAGGTTTTGCTATGTTGGCCAGGCTGGCATCGAATCGGGCGATATGCCTGCCTTGGCCTCCCAAAGTGCTGGGATTACAGGAATGAGCCACAGCACCTGGCCAAGAGTTGATGTTTCTAACAGTACTTATTTTTTCTTTAAAGAACAAAAATAAAAGAATAAGGAATTTAAAAATCAGAGATAGAAGCCATGCATTTTCACGCAGCTTCATATGCACTGGGTTAAAAATTAATTAATATCCTCTTCATTCAAATGTCACATATACCAGTGCTTCTCAAACTATTGTCTTCACAGATCAATAATTTTATAAAATACAGTGAAAATAAATTATAAGAAAAACATCAAAAAAGCTTACAAAATGCAAGCCCGATTACAAAATGCAGTAATGTCAAATTGCTATAGAAGTTTCCATGTGCTTATTCTCGATCCCTGTACTTATCACAGACCAATTACGGTTTGTGGACTTGGGCTGGTCCAGGGACCACACTTTGAGTAACTGTTGTTGGTATAAGTCACATTCACTGCGACAAGTTCCATAGGTCAAAACCATTTTTTATTTAAACTTTGTCATATCAAATGGTTCCTGAAATGAGAGAGCCATTGACAGTACTTGGAAATTGTCACCCCTTTTTCATTAGCCTGTATAATGTCACTGAATGTGTGTTCAAAATATGACAAATTATTGTGCGCTAAATAATTTCTATAATGTGAAAGCTGCCTTCTCTCATTTTTCCAGTATTTATTTACCCTTTTTCCATCCTGTTCCTTAAATAGCTTGAGAAGTAGTGAACTTAGCATTTACTGTGTAATTTTTCTTTCAAACTTCATTTACAGAAGTTGCATACTAATTCTTGGCGGGAATTCAGCTCTGCAGATGTGTTCAGTTTAATCTTCATGGTGTTTTTAAAACATTAGACTTTAAATGCCTTTAGGTACAACCTAGTCAAATGCCCAGCCCCACATATACACGTGTTATCTGGCTGCCCCTCTTCTTTTCTCCCCCAGAGAGTCTCACTGTAGTAAGAGGATGTGCTGAAGACCAGATCCACCTGGCTTAGAATTTTTGATCTGCAGCAGATTATGATGATGCTTCCTGTGCACCTAGACAAGTTGCTTAAACACTCTGAGGCTCATTTTCCACATTTGTTAAATGGCAATAATACTTAGATCACAAGATTCTTGGGCAGATTAAATGAGGCAAAGTAAATGCAATGTCTGGCCCTGGGGTGAGTAGTTAAGCACAGAGTATTATTTCCCCTCCGTGTCTACCTACCCCACAACCGATTTCGCCTATCCAAGGTCCTCTGCTGCTCTCTGCACCCTTTACATTTTGCCTCTGGTGAGTTTACTGCTTCTCTCTGCTGAACAAACTCTGCTAAATAAACTCATCAAAAATATACCTTTACTAAGTAAAGAGGAAAGGCTATGCTAATACTCGCAGCTTTGCCACCTGGAATAAAAGATGACTCAAAGAGCACTAAGTAAGAAGGAAAGCTCTAAGGGAAAGAGCTGTTGAAAGCAGTTCTCTCAGAATACAAATAAAATACAGCTCTTCCCTCCCCGACTGGCTGACAAGCATCATTGCCGCAGTTTCAGGACAGCATTTGACCTCTGTGTTACTTCTAATTCTTAATTGTAGAAGTATTTGCTTGTCTATGAAATATGAAGATTTCCTTGACTTCAGGAAATTCCTTTAATGGAATTTTATGTTTTCTCAGGCTTTTTGTTTCT